TAGTAGTCGTAGTAGTAGTAATAATCGCCGTGGTGGTCGTATAGTAGTAGTCGTAGTAGTAGTAGTAGTAGTAGTAGTAGTAGTAGTCGTAGTAGTCGTAGTAGTTGTAGTAGGAAGAGTAGTAGTGGTAGTAGCGGTAGTCGTAGTAGTAGTAGTAGTAGTAGTAGTAGTAGTCGTAGTAGTAGTGATAGTGGTACTAGTAGTACTAGTAGTAGTAGTAGTAGTAGTAGTAGTAGTAGTAGTAGGAGTAGGAGTAGAAGTTGTAGTAGTAGTAGTAGGAGTAGTAGTTGTAGTATTAGTAGTAGTAGTAGTAGTAGGAGTAGTAGGAGTAGTAGTAGTAGTAGTAACACCGTATGCACCACAGTGCTGTGTACACGACAGCGCCTGCGTGCACCCTTGCGCTTGCGTGCGCCGCAATGCCCGCGTACAGAAAGAAACCAAGTGCACCGCAGCGCTTGTGTACACCACCCTGCCTGCGTGCACCACATTATCTGTATGAGCTGGCCCTGCGTGCACCCCGATGCCTGCGTGCACCGCAGCGTTTCTGTACACCACCTGTTGCCACAACAGCAACGGCAACATCCGTGTGCCCCACGAGGCCCCCGTGTCTGCGTGCACCTCTCGGGGCCTCCGGGCCACGTCGGTCGTCCTCGTCCTCGTCCTCCTCCTCTTCCCCCTCCTTCACCCCCTCCTTTTACTCCTCCTCCTCCTCCACCTCCATCTCCTCCTCCACCTCCTCCTCCTTCCTCCTCCTCCTGCCCCTCCTCCTCCTCCTCCTCCTCCTCCTCCTCCTCCTCCTCCTCCTCCTCCTCCCCCTCCTCACTTCCTGCACAACTCCTCCGCCCTCCTCCTCCTCCTCCTCCTCATCATCCTCCTCCTCTTCCGCCTCCTGCTGCTGCTGCTCCTGCTGCTGCTGCTCCTCCTCCTCCACCTCCTCTATGGGAAACTGCACGCGTTCACGCCTGTAGCCGGTTTCCCCGCGTCACCGTTACGTGGGTGGGGTGGGGGGTGGTCGGGGGGGGTAACACGAGTTACGTCCAGAAGTAGTACAAGAAAGATCTCACACGCTCCCCAAATGCTCCCCCCCAACAACACAAAAAAATGGGAAAAAGACCCGAAGAGGACCCAACAAAGCTCCCGCGAGGCAACGCAGTCACCGTGTAGCGTTACAGCCTGGCTCACTCCACTGTAGTCACACCTGACAGCAGCCCATGCTTCCTAAACCCTTTACTCTGCCAGCGGTTGCCTCTTCGCTCGCTGTGGCTCCGAAGCGCCAAGCATCTTTTGCTTGAGCAGCCTGCCTCTCGAACCGCGCGCCGGTCACAGTTGCGCCAGGGTGCCTGAAATAATTAGCCCTACCAAGCGCTGACCATCACACTCCCGCGCGGCGCGGCGCAGATAGCTCCGTCGTACCTCTTGCGGGGTGCTCACCAGTCGCGCTACCTGAAGGGCCGAACACACCAGCAGCCTGCGGGAACGACGTGGTCACTCTGCTCGGGGCCATCTTCGGGCGGATGCGCACGGGGAGGGACAACTGAAGGGGCCCTGGGACACACAAGTAAATAGACACTAATAAGAATATGTCCCATATTTCATATATATATATATATAGATTACGTTTTTGTCTTCCCCCCCACTTCGCATATTTTCCAATATTTTCTGGGGAATCGACGATTAATTATGCCTTTGTGTTTTTACCTCCTGAGAAATACACGGGGGGCGATTGAGGGCTGCAGGACGGGGGGCTCCCACAGGGGCCCCGGACCGCGCCCAGAACTGCCACCGCGGCCCCAAGAGGTTCCCGAAGGGTGCCAACTTGCTACCCCCCTCCCCCGCGTGCGAGGGGCAGCGAGAAACGGGGGTGGGCTGGCTCAGGGAAGCCGAATTATGGGAAACGCAATTCTGGCCCACCGAGTGCTGTTTTTCAAAGGAAATGGTGTTTCCCATACTTCGGAACTCGAATTCTGGGAAACCGAATTCTGGGAAACGCAATTCCCTGGGGGAGAACTTCGCCCAAGGATGGGCGATACAGTGCCGACAGATCGGCGATAGTTGGGCGGGTGCTACTGGGGGGTGCCCCAACGGGGGGGTGAAGCACAGGGCCTGTCAAGAGGACCCTCGAGGGCCCCTTCTGGGCCCCTGGCGGCTCCAAAAGGAGCCCGAGAGGGCACCGAGAGGGCTCTGCTCCCCAATCAGTGCGTGCACTGAAGGGGTCCTATAGCGGATATTTAAGGGGGCCACATGCGAACCCCACCCTCCGTTCCCGGGTTCCCGGGTTCCCGGTTCCGGGTTCCCGGTTCCGGGTTCCCGGTTCCGGGTTCCCGGGTTCCCGGTTCTGGGTTCCGGGCCGATTTCGGAGGGCGGCGAGGTTCCCAGGTTCCCGGGTTCCTGGTCGATCTGCATATCGATCGGTCTCACCATTAATCTCATTACCGACTTCTCGATCGATCTCACCATCGATCTCACAATCGATCTCACTATCAATCTCACAAGCGTTCTCACTAGAGATCGCATGAGCGATCTCGCGATCGATCTCACTATCGATCTCAATGAATCGTTTTCACTCTCGGTCTCACGATCGACCTTACAATCGTCCTCACTATCGATTCCACTATCGATCTCATTATTGATCTCACTATCGATCTCAAGATCCATAGTATTAATTTCCAAATCATCCGCTAATTGGAGTTTTCTCAAGTGTAATTGAAAGATGTTTGCGAACATTTCCCGCCGATTTTGGTAGCAGGCTGGGAGGCTGGGTCCCTGGATTCCTGGTTCCAGGCCGATTTCGGTGGGCTCCGGGTTCCTGGGTTCCCGGTAGATTTCCTTATCGATCTCTTTATTGATCTCATTCCAAACCATCCACTGATTGGGGTCTCTCCCTGGCGTAATTCTGCACCCCCCGTTTGGGTCACCTCCCACTACCGCCCGCCCGAGGTAGGCCGTGGATGGCGACTCGGGCCCGTCCTGTCGGTGATCCATGGGCGATTGGGGGTCGACGCCCCCCCCCCCTGAGTCTGATTATCCCCCCCTGCCCTTAGGTCGGGCGTGTCCTCCTACAGGCGGATGGTGGAGGAGGCACCAAAAAAAACACAACAGAAGTGCTCAACAATGCTTACGCAGGCCGAAAGATTATCCTCGTGAGCCCCACATGTCGGACTGTCCGCCTCCCTCCTCTCTCCTCCCTCCTCCCTCATCGTCCTTCTCCTCCTCCTTTTCCTCTGCCTTCCTCCTCCCCCCCTCTCTTCCCTGATTATTCCTCCTCTCTCCCCCCTTGCGTCCCCTCTGTTCTCCTCCCACCTCCTCTTGCCTCTTCCCTCATCCTTCCCCTATTCATCCTGGGAAGACCCCCCTCCCCTGTAGAATCATAGCATTGCTCTGCAGATCCACAGCTCCGTGGATAACATGATGCTTCACTTGCGGTGCTCCGCGGATCCGATTTCCCCTGGGTCCCGGAAGTTAACTTTCATGATATATTTATTCCCGGGAAATAAATGATCCATCGTTTTTCGCACACTGGAAATTGGATGCGCGCAACGCAGAAATAGGATCCACGAAACTCTCCCACACCCGAAAAGGGATCCAATTGGATCCATTGATGTTCTCATATCTTTAGTCCAAGAGGGAAAACTTTCGGCCCGGGGATGTAGTCAAAAGACCACGAACAATAGAATCGCCCCCAGGCGATTCATGAACCATGGTCACATATTCCTCCTGCAAAGGGACATGTCCGACTGAACCCAACCCAGTCCTGGACTCCCCCCCTTCCGTCCATCTCCATCCCGTTGCCGTCCACCCGACGGCCGACTTGTCTAGAGGAGCACAAATCGGCATGAGCAGAAACTTTCGACGCTCCGTGCGGATTACTTGCGTCGTCGCTGGACCCCTTCCTCCCTGGCGTGCCGAGCGCGCCAGTGGCGACGCCTGAGACTCCGTCGCCGATACAAGAAATCCGCGCGGAGCGTCGGCAGTGTATGTTCGTGCGGGCAAGATGTGTATAAATATCCACGTCGTCTTGGACTTTCTGGAAAGGGGCTCCCGATTGTCCACTGCGCCTCTGGCTTCTGGGGAAACGACCCCGAAACTCCCATGGCGGGCTTCGAACACCATGAACAACAAATGTCTCATCTCCTCGGGGCGCATATTTCGGGGGCGCGCAAACATGGATTAGCGATCCATGGATTTGGCGCGCGGTCGCCAAATCCATGGATCGGGGGAGGTGCTCTCCCTACAAAGCGGCCGGTGCCGCCTCGCTCGGCGGCGGAAATCCGCGATTTCCCGTGGAAACGGGACCCGTTCGCTAATCCACGCCCCCTTTATCCATGTCTGCGATCGCCTGAATGTTTCACCTCCGCCGCCTTGCGCCGACCTTCCGCCGCCTTCCGCCGAGGAAGCTCCGCCGAGGAAGCGACGCCGACGCCTTCCGTCCTCGAAGGCGAGACCCCCTTCCTGGAGGCGCCTCAAACGCATACGCACCTTGCCCGCCGCTTCTGCTCCTCGACCGAAAGGGGACCGCCCCGCCCAGAGCCTACGACCGGCAGAGCTGCACGAGTAGGGGAGCGAACCGTGGCACACGGCAGGTTCGCGGCGTGTCGACCCCGGCAATGGCTCCCGACACCGCGGGGATCGTTCAGACTTGAACCATCGGCCCTTCCATCAACGCCGGATCGTTCACCGACGGGCCGATTCTGGGCCACGGGCGGCGCTCAACCTCGAACGCCCGCGGCGGGGCCGCGGCGAGTCGACACGACGCGGACCTACCGTAAACATCAAAACTCGGAGGCCCGCGCGGAGTTCTCGGATCGGCGCTGGACCCCCCTCCCTGGCGCGCGGAGCGCGCCAGGGGCGGCGCCGGAGGCGCCGCCAGGGGCGCCAGGGGGGTCCAGCAGCGGACCCGAGGAGCCCGCGCGGACCTCCGAGCGTTTATGCTTCTGCCGTGCTTCGCTCCCGCGTAGGAGAACACTCCCATAGCCCCTTCCTTGCGCCGCCCGCCCGCGGCCCTACTGCGGCGCCAGCCGCGGCTTCAGGCGCAGCCGGTGGGTGTGCGCCTCGATCTGGAGCAGGCCCGGCCTCTCCTGTTTGGACGCCCGACATGGGTACGGAAAAGATGGGTACAATGCCCAACCACAAATGCTGTCCAATCCTGCTCAACATGAGCAGGCCCTGCTGTTCGGCATGGTACCCATTCTTTCCGCACCCATCTCGGGCGTCCAGATCCTGCGCGCCCGCGGCGCCCCGCCCCTGCTCGCCCGCGGCCGGCTGGCCCGTCGGCGCCGCCGGCGCCGCCGGCGGGCGGGGCGCCTGGCCACCCTGGTGAGCCTGGAAGGCCTCGATGCGCTCCATGTCCGCCTTCGCCTCCGGGGGAAGAGGCTCGCTGCCTACATGCACCGCGCCGCTTCCTCTCGGGAGGAGGAGGAGGAGGAGGAGGAGGAGGAGGAGGAGGAGGTCTCGGTGGACGGGCGCCCCGGCTGCCCAAGCTGTGGGGCGCTGGAGAGTCGAGGCACCGACTGCCCTCACCGAGCTCCTGGGCCCCCTCGCGGACCGAGCGACGCGGTGTATACATCGAGCCCCTCCGCCGAGCCTCCTCGGCGGTGCGGTTGTACGCGGCGCACTCGTGGAACTTGCAGATGGAGCAGCAGCTCGGGTCGCAGCACCCGCACTCGCACACCTCAGCGATGTACGTCTTCCCTGCGTGGGGGGGGGGGCAAACAGTCATCAGCCTCATGCAGGACATCCTGAAGGCCATGCACGGCATCAGATCCACGTTGGATTTCTGTCGGACCCACGTCGGATTCACGTCAGACTTACGTCGGGACATCGCCGCGCGAACGTCGCTCCATCTCTGACGGGGCGGATGTGTGGACTGGATAATGCAACTATTGCGCGCCGCGCGAGGTCTCCAGGATCTTCCTCATACGCACCCCTTCACCATCACACTCCCATATCATATTGCTTTTCTTTCTCATCGCACAGCCCCTTGCAGATAGAAACACCGGCAGAAACAGAAACTTGCGAAGGTCTGCGCGGATCTCTCGTATCGGCGCTGGCTCCAGCTTGTGGCGCCGCGCCAGGGAGGGAGGGGGAACTCCAGCAGCGCAGATGACAAACATCTGCGCGGAGCTCCGAAAGCTTATATGAAAGGCCTCCTATATGGGGTCCGAGTAGATGTGGTCGGAAGATCACGCCGCATCGCCGACACATCGACAATGCACCGGCGATGCATCGTCGACGCCGGCGATGCATCGGCGACCTCGACGTGGAGCAGATCGGGCACCACATCGAGCCGCCTCGGCGATGCATCGGCGGTGCGGCGCGATCCTCCGACCCCATCTACTCGGACCCCATCTAGGAGGAGGGGTAGGAGGAGGAGGAGAAGAGGACGAGGAGGAGAGGAGGAGGGGAAGGAGGAGGAGGAAAAGGAAGAGGAGGAGGAAAAGGAGGAGGAGGAGGAGGAGGGGGAGGAGGAGGAAAAGGAGGAGGAGGAGAAGGAGGAGGAGGAGGAGGAGGACGAGGAAAAGGAGAAAGAGAAGGGGGAGGGGGAGGCCTGGACCTGGGCCCGCCGATCCGTCGTATCCGCGGCCGTGTCTGCCCTCCAGGCCCCGCCCCTCCGAGCCCCATTGCGGTGCGACCCCTCCGGGGATTTGGACGCCCGAAGTGGGCACGGAAACAATGGGCACAATGCCCAACAGCAAATGTTGTCGCGAACCAACAGCGGCAGCTGTTGGGCAGGCGGCCTTCTGTCTCAAACAGACACAGGCCGCGGCGACACCGACAGCGAGTCCTGTTCAAAATGAGCAGGAACTGCTGTTGGGCATGGTACCCATTCTTTCCGGACCTATGCCGGTCGTCCCGAAGGGAAGGCGAGGCCCCGACGGAGGCGGCCCCCGCGGGACAGTCCGGAGGCACCTCGGCGACACGCCACGGCACCCAGGGGCACCTCAGCGGCACGCGCGCACAGAGAGGCCTGACACTTGTCTTCCGTCGGCGGCGAGGCGGCGAGCCCCGCTCCAGCGAGAACCTCTAAAGGGGCACTGTCTGGCGAATGGGCCGGCGGGCAAGGATAGACGCCTGAAGCAGTGGATGCTGGTAATTCAGTGAACGTGGAGGTGGCCGGGGCTGGAAGAACTGGCAGGGGCTGGAACAAGCCCGAAACAATTATGGGACCCGTTCGCCAGGGCTGGAGAAACGAAAGGCAACCGACCAGGCCTGGGAACAGTGAGAGGGCTGGCCCTGGCCACATTTCCCAGCTTCCCTGTAGTCGCCGCGATCGAACGACTCCTGGGAGGTGCGCGGCGGGAGGAAGAGGAGGAGGATGGAGATGACAACTACCGAGGAGCGAGGGCGCCCCTGGGCGCTTCTGCGGAGCCACCGAGTCAGGAAAGAGACCGGAAGAGGCGCAGCCAGAGAGGTGTACGGCATGTTCGCGTCTTGACGACCCCAGCGTTGGTCTCAGGACACCGCGTGGATTTTTCTGCGGCAACTCATGGGAGCCTCCCATACCATCTTACTGGCTCTTGCGAATCGACGCTCATCGACGCTAACCAACACACATCGACGCTAAATCGGTGCTAATCGACGCCAGCCGACGCAAAATCGCCGCTATTTCATCGACTCCCAGACGCCAATCGACGCTAGTCGACACTAAAGACAGACTTGCGAGGGTACACGAGGCTCCCATGACTTGCTACCGAAGGATCGTTCAACTTTGAACGATCGGCGGCTTTCCGATCGCCAGGTTATTCCATACTGGCGGATTCTGGGCCACTGGGGGCTTCCAACCCTGAGCGCCCCGCGGCGGGGTCGCCGCCGCGTCGGCACGACACGAACCTGCCGCGTGAAGAGTTCCCAAGAAAAGAAAAAGGCCACGCCCTTGCGCCGCACCGGGGCGGAGGCGAGGCAGTCCCGCACACGCGCGTCCGGGCAACCCGGGCTGTGCGATACTGCGAAATGATCCCCAAATGCAAAGCGGGGGGGGGAAAAGGGAGGGACGGCCGCGGAGAAGCGGAAGCACAGGGCCACACAACCAATCGTGGAGCCCCCGACCATATCTTCGAGTGTTGCTAGAAGTACCCCTGGCCCAGGGTGCCCCCAGCTTTTCGCGCCATTTCGGAGCCCCTGGGGCCCTCTGGGCCTCGTGAGGGGGTGCTTTGGAGGCCGTTTGGGCTACCCCGAAAATCATGGGGGCACCTTGGCCCCAGGGGAACTTCCTTCTAGCAGCACCCGATATTTGGAGGCCCCCAGGGGACAGTGGCATCAGGCGGCCGCCGGCGGGACGGCCAGGCAGGCGGCCAGCGCCAGGGCGACGAGGGCGCGGGGGGCCATCGCGGGAGGCGGTCGGGTGTGAATGATGGGCCTGTTTTCCACCACCACCACTATAAGTTGGAGGGGGGAAGGAGGAGGAGGACGAGGAGGACTAGGAGGAGAAGGAGGAGGACGGCGAGGAGGAGGAAAAGGAGGAGGAGAAGGCGGACGGAGAGGAGGAGGAGGAGGAGGAGGAGGAGGAGGAGGAGAAGGAGGAGGAGGAGGAGGAGGAGGAAGACCCCCTCCCCATCCAGCCTATGGTGGTGGTGGTGGTGGTGGTGGTGGTGGTGGTGGTGGTGGTGGTGGTGGTGGTGGTGGTAGTGGTGGTGGTGGTGGTGGTGGTGGTGGTGGTGGTGGTGGTGGTGGAAAACAGGCCCATCATGTGAAGGTACTAGGCGGGGCGTGGATCAGGCGCGCCTGGGGCGAAACGGCTGCGTGACTCGCGTGAGGGTCTCGGCACGCGCGGCGCCGGTACTCTCACACCCACCGTCAGTCACAGCTAAATCTCTGATGTGTTTCAGCGGCAGCCCAGGTTATCCAGGGCCGCCAGTAAGGGGGCGGGGAGGGGGGGGGGGTCAAACCCAAGCGCGCACGCCAGCGCTGGGGGGACCCCTGCTGGCCTGCACCAAGCCCAGACGTCCGACGCGTGGCCCCCAGAGGCCTGGACCCTTCCTGGGGACCAGCTTCTCATCCTGAGCCGACCTTGCCCAAAGGCCCAAAACCGCATTATAAGCGTCGCCGGCTTTTGACGTCGAAGGCCACTCCAGCGAGGAGCCACCCCCTGCGCGCAGCCGATCAGCGGCCGCCACTCGACGGCCCGACAGCCCAACCCTTTTGCACTCTGGGCAGTCCCACGTGTGCCCGCGCGCACCAGCACTGCGCGCCCCCTTCGGACCTGCGCAGCCGACAAGGTCAGGCCGTCCGGGGGGGCAACGGGGGGGGGGTGGGCGGGCGGGCCCGATCACCCGGCTCATCGCCGGGCCCTGGCAAACAGATCGCTGGTTTTGCGAACACCCCCGGTGTGCAGAGGCGGTCGGCAGTTTCTTACAGTGGCCCGACCTCTCACGGACCCAGCTGATTCAGCATACCAGACCACCCCATCTGAACCGAAGACCCGGATTTCGGGCTGGGGGGGGGTACGGGTTCCACATGTGTTTTTTCAACGTTCCCCGACGCCCCCCCCCCAACCGGGAATGGAGAGCGAATTGGGGCCTTCGGGTCGGGTGGGGGGTGGTTCGGTAGCTGGTCAGCTGAATACATGGAATAAGTACCCCAAAGCAGAAGAATGTTGTAAGCCCCTGGCATGCTAAAATAGACCGAGCTACGAAGAAACGGCATGGGCAACGAAAAACAACTCTGGATGCTCATTCTGGGGACCTTCCTGGAGACACTCGCTCCACTCGAGAATCGAAGCTGCGTCGAACGACCGTGGACTTGAGCCGACCCTGAGCAGGAAGAAAGGAAACCGACACCAACACCACCAGGGAACATTGCCTGGGCGATCGAAACTCGAAGGATGGGAAAGACGGCAGCAAGCCCGAGGGCGGCGAAGTCAGAAGGCCTAGGCAGAGGACTCCTCCTCCTCCTCCTCCTCCTCCTCCTCCCTCCTCCTCCTCCTTCTCCTCCTCCTCCTCCTCAAGCCGGCATCAAGGGAGGGGAGGCGACGCAGACGAGGCGGCTGCTCACGGAACGGAGGGGGGGAAGCATGCCAAGCCGCAGAGCTGCCCCAGACCCTCGGGGCTGCGGAGCCCCCCACCCCTCGGGATCCCATCGGCGACTCCCCTGCCCCATACCCGTCGTGGGGCCCGAGCCCGACTGCGAGGATGTCCCGAGCGAAGGGGGGGACCAACACCAGCAGGGACCCTCCGCCGGGCAGGCCCAGCCAGCCAGCAGCGAAAGTTCCCAGCCAGCAGGCCCACTGGGTCCACCAGCCAGCAGCGAAAGTTCCCCCACGTTCAACTTGTCAGCCGCCAGGCTGCGGCACTGCTGCCCATCGGAAGCAGGCACTCCTCAACGCTGCCAAGATCCTCCAGAGTCGTACGCGGGCAAATTGGGCGCGCGGTTATGTGGTCGTTTATTGTTTGTGGTTCCGTTCCCTGGTGGTGTTGGTGTCGGTCTTCCTTATTCCGACACAGTCGAACCTGAATCGAACCTGAGTCGAACTTGAATCGAACTGGGATCGAACTAGAGTCGAATAGATCCGTTAGGTGGGCACCAGGAAGGTCCCCCAGAACGAACATTTCAACAACTCACTTGCTGACCGCCGTGGGCTTACATTCTAAGTATTGCCACAATGACGTGAATCAAAAACATGATAAGCCGTTTCACCGAAGGCCCAATGCCAAACGGAGAAATGCATCCCGGACGACCAGAACTCGAAATTTCCGGTGGCAGCTCATGGGAGCCTCCCTCACCATCTTGTTGGCTCTTGCGAATCAACGCTCACCAATGCTAGTCGCCGCTAATCGACGCTAAGTCGACGCTAAATCGACGCTAAATCGGCACATCTCATCGATTCACAGGCGCCAGTCGAACGCTAGAGACCGAATTCATAGGGTATACCAGGAGAGCCTACCAGGAGAGCCAGAACACGAAGCACTCAAGGGTACACCTTCAAAGTTATGGCAGTTTCGCTCTCGTGCCACCTGTAATTCATGGGGGACGTTCGGCCGCACGCGGGCGCCGACACCCCACGCTGCACCTCCGGGGGGGGGGCCTCGCGTGTCCTTTACGCTTGCGTGTCCTTTACGCGGGCTCGACGCGGGTTCGATGTTGATTCGACGCGGATTCGGCGCAAGTTCGACATGGAATCGATACAGGTTCGGCTTGGATAGCGGCACGATGAGGCAGACAAGGTCTCCCAGAAATGCAAAAAACAAGATGTCGTGACAGCAGCCGCCAATGCGTAGCTCAGAAACACGAATCCCTCTGCAACAAGCCGCGACGAAACCAAAGAAGAGGGAAAGTGGGGTGCAGAGGTTAGCAACGGACACCTGCGTACGACACCTGCCATCCTCTGCGCAAGATTAATCAGCATCGAATCGGGAAATCGGATCGATTTGAAATGTGTGTCGGGTAGAGGCTTCAACACGGAATCGAAATCGTGGATCGGCTGCACCAGGATGCACACCAGCGCTCATGCGAACATCAGGCCGCATCGGATCGTCCGAATATCGGAATCGAGTCGGATCGGGCCCGCCAGAATCGGCACATATCGAATGGGATCGATCGTGCCGCTGTGGACCCTGCTGGGTGTGCCAACCAGTTGCGCTGTTTACGCCACCACCTCACCCCTGGCGTTCGGGACAGCGGCCGCGTGGGACTGCCAAGAAGAGCGCACGCAGCCTTGTTGTGAGCGACCATCTTGAAGAAGACCTTGGTCTCCTGCGCTTGCGCAGCATAAATGGAAGGGCCCAAAGGAGGAGGACGACAGGGGAGCATGCGATGTGCCACGCGTCACCTGCGACCCCTTGGTTGCCACGGCAAGACAGGCCTTCGCGTCGACATCCTTGACGACGGGGCGGCCCTCGCGCCGAACGCTCGCCCCAAGAGGCCGCCAAGACGAGCTCCAGCAATCCCAGCCTCAGACGCCTCCCCAATCAAACTTACCCCAGCAAACCACCCCGACGGGAGGAACGGTGAAGAGGCGCGTCGAGGAGTAGGAGGTCGGCCTGTGAAAACGTGCCAATGGTGAAAGCACGACCATGTGCACTTTTGATAAATCTCCCATAGGAGAAGAACAACATAATTATAAGCGTTCAGCGCTCCGCGCGGATTCCTTGGATTCGCGCTGGACCCCCCTCCCTGGCGCGCGGAGCGCGCCAGGGGCGGCACCGGAGGCGCCGCCGGGGGGCCAGGGCGCGGATCCGAGGAATCCGCGCGGAGCGCCGAGAGTTTCTGCTTCCATGGCTCTTTCGTCATCGCTTGAACCACAAGATCGGGCCGTCCAGACCAGACATGTAGTGTTAGCCGGCACTGGGGCGCGGGCACGAGTTCCGACTACTCTGTGAGGAAGTCCGGCGAAACGGCCGCCGGACTGGCCTGTCTACGGCTTCGCGTTCCCCATAATTATGTGGAACTCCTCTGTGGTTCTCTCCTTTTTTTAGCCCTATGAGAACCCTCCGGCGAAACGCTTCTAGGGAACTTCGCGTTCCCCATATGTGAAACTCCTCTGTGGTTCTCTCCTTGTGTTTTTAGCCCTACGAGAGCCCTCCGGCGAAACGCTTCCAGGGAACAACAGGTGGTCCTCCAGCGCTCCCAGGCGGCTGGGGCCGAACAAGGGCATATTCGCCGGCCCAACGGGCCAGAGGCGTGCTAAGATCTCCGGTAACTGGTTAACAATTCTCTAGTTCGCGCGCGCGGGGCGGCCCCCGGGGGTCCACGGACGAAAAGTACCCCGGCAAGGTCCTGAGAGAGTCCCGGGAGGAGTCCCCCAGAGCGCTCCAGAAGCGCTCCACGAGCGCACCAACAGGGCTCCGAGACGTCCCCGAGAGCCCCAAGAAAGGCCAAGAGGCCCCCAAGAGGCCCCCAAGATGGTACACGAGGGGTCCGACATGCCACAAGATCGCTCCAAGACGCCCAAGATAGCCCCCAGACGCCCCAAGAGGCCTCCAAGAGCACTCCCAAGAGGGCCCCCGGAGGCAAAATTCATTGTTTTTCCTTAGGTTTTTGAGAGATTTTGGAGCTTCCACCTTTTCGGTTCCCGACGCCCCAAGACGGCCCCAGAGGCCCCCAAGATCGCCCCAAGAGGGCCCAAGAGGCCCCCAAGAGGGCCCCAAGATGGCCCAAGAGGGCTCGAAGACGGCCCAAGAAGCCTCCAAGACGGTCCAAGAGGGCCCCAAGAACACCCCCAGAGGGGCCCCAGAGAGGGAACACGAAACAAAATTTCGAGCCCTCGGCCCTAAGAAGCCCCTACGAGGCCCCTACGAGGCCCCTAAGAGGCCCCAAAAGGCCCCCACGAGGCCCTCAGGAGGCCCCCAAGAGTCCCCCAAGCGGCCCCAGGAGGCCCCCCAAATGCCCCCCCGAGCGCCCCAGGAGTCCCCCAAGCGGCCCCAGGAACCCCCAAAGCGCCGCATTGACACCAGGCCTTCGGGCAAACGGCAGACATGAGACCGTATGGGCCGGCGGAATGAGCGAAGCGATTAAATAAAAAACTGTTACGCTGGACCGCAAGGGGGGGACTCGGAACATGAGGTGGCACTCTGCCGAGCACTGGTACGGTCAAGTTGAAGCTCCGCGCGTGTCTACCTAACTACGAGCTTCCACAACTGAAGAGGCAAGCTGCAGAGAACCACCGCGATCACATCTGTGCGAGCTGGCCTCTCTGGCCGAAAGCACAGGTGGACTAGACAATCGCTGATAGCGGGTGGAGAAAGAGAGGTGGACGAGACGAAACGAAATCGAAGGAAGGGGATGACGAAGACGACGACGTCGAGTCAGAGTGGATGACGAGAAGGATATCCACGATGACAAGAGGGAGGGAAAGGAAGGGTGACGACGAGAAGGGAACAGTGGAGGAGGGAGAAGGGACAACACTTCACTCAGAGCGATGGTCGGCATTCGCGCCGGGGACGACGCCATGCGCGCCTGGGCCGACGGCCACACTCCCGCTCGCCACCGCCGTGCAATCACTCACAGCACCGGCGTCGAGGAGCCAGGGCCAGGCACACGCACACGCACACGCACACACACACACACGCACACACACACACACGTACACACACGTACACACACACACACACACACACACGCACACACACACACACACGTACACACGTACACGCACACACGCACACCGCAGAGAGGCTCCCAGAACGGACTCTGGTGGGCCCGTCGGCAGAATAGGACGCCGCGACACGGCTCGAAGATGGGACCCCGCCCACCGGGTCCCGAGCTCCTCCGCCAGACGCCCGAGCACTCCCAACACAAAGAAGGGGAAACGGACCATGACGCAAACATATTATCTCGGAGGTCCGCGCGGATCTCTCGGATCCGCGCTGGGGCCCCCTGGCGGCGCGGTGGTCCAGCGCGGATCCCAGACATCCGCGCGGACCTCCGGGATTTTATGTTCGTGTCACTGTTCGTCCCTCAAAAATTTGGGCGCCCGAGTTATCCGGGGTAACTCGGGCCCGGGGTAACTCGGGCTTGTATTCCCGATAAACGAACCCGAGTTAGCCCTGACCCGAATTATCCCTGATGATTTGGGGCTCTGGACGCCCGAGTTATCCGGGGTAACTCGGGCCCGGGGCAACTCGGGTTCGGATTCTCGAAAAACGAACCCGAGTTAGCCCTGACCCGAGTTACCCCTGATGATTCGGGTCTTTGAAAAATCGGCGGTGGGCAAACCTCCCTTTAATAAACCTCCCTTTAGTGAAAACGGCCTGGGACCGAAACCGACGAACCTGGACCCGCAAAAATGACGGCCGCGACGCCCTCTCGCGAACCGAAAACGGCCAATTCGCGAATGGACGTGTCAGGGTAGGAGGTCTGTCCACGCCCGAAAAACAACCTCTGGGGGGGGGCCACTTTTGGCGCCACCCCGAGCGTGCGGCGTGGGAGGGGGGGAGCCAGGAACAAAGGGGGGCCAGGAAGAGGGATTGGGTCGGGCATGTCCCCCATACAGGGGGATTTTGAACGAAGCATCAGAAACATGTTCACATAACAATTCAAGAAGAGTCAAACAATACTCCAACAATAGTCCCCATACTCTTTTTTTGATTACTTTGGCATATTCCCCCTGTAGAGGGACACGCCCGACTTACGAGAGGGAGGCCGGCGCACCATGGCTCGAGGCACGTACAGTCGGCCGTCGGCCCGTATTACGAGGAGGCGCGGTGAGGATGCGAGGGCCTTGGGCGCCCATGTCGAAGCTTCTCGAGCGTGCCGCGGCCAGCAGAGGTGGCCAAGGGGTGGGCCGAGGAGGCAAGGACTGCCCCCCGCACGGCTACCCATCCTCACTGTGCGGGCTGGCTGCGCGCGGACGATGGGGGGGGGGCAAGGGGACGTGCCGAAAGAAGAATAATAACAATAAGAGTCATAAACATAGGAAGAATAAGAAAAAACAAAGACGAAGAAAAACAATATCAATAATAATAAGAAACATAAAAAACAAAGAAACAAAAGAAGAAGCAGAAGAGCATGAACTCGGTGATCTCCCGCCCCCATCCCCCGCCTGCCCTCGGAATGCGGCGAAGAAGGCGTCCCTGGCCAGGGGCGTGCCCATGGACTCCGACTCCAAGGAGGCCCCCACGCGGCCTCCAGCGCACATCCCTCGCGAGGCCCAGAGCGCCCCACGGGGCTCCACAGGTGGAGCGAGACGTTCAAGGCACCCTGGGCCGGAGACACCTGCAGCAACCCCTGGGGCCATCGTGCGGCTCCACCAGGATTGCAGTCAGCCAGCATAGTAAGGATGCGCGGTAAGGATGGATGTAAGGGCCTTGGACTCCTTGGACGCCCAATTCGAGGCTTTTCGAGCGGGCCGCGCCGCGGCCAACGAGAGTGGCGGAGGATGGACCGAGGAGGCAAGGATGCAAGGGTACCCTTGGGAAGGTTGCCCGTCCTAACTACGTGGGTCGACTGCAGGTCGGGCATATCCCGCTGCAGGCGGATTCTCGAGGAGCGCTCCCAGAGACTCCCTTCACAGATCCAGACATGGCGAACAAAAAACTCTGTGGAAGCATCGCCCCCCGACCGCCACCTCCACCGTGCCCGAAGGAGTCCTCCCGTGACGGCGCGTGCCCGACTCGGCGCGTGGGGCCGTGGGGCGGCCAGGAGCGACGAGGCGTCCCCGGCCGCGGCCCGCCGCAGGCCCCTCCGGCCCTCCGACAGCCCGAGGGGCGGGCCCGGGAGCCACGGCCCCTCCGGAGGGCCCCGAGCGGCCCTCGCGGTGGGCGTCTCGGCTGCGTCGGAGGAGGGCCGCTCGGAGTCCCTCGGGAGAGGGGCGCCGCACGGCCGAGGCGCACTCGACGTGGCCGAGCATCGAGCCTCTTGCAGGGCCAAGTTCCTCTCCGCATCCGGGGCGCCACGGGACTCTGGGGGAAGGGAGCGCGCAACTCCAAGCTGCAGTGGCTCTCCCGCGCTCCAGAGCCCCAAGTGTTGTAGGTGCCATGACAGTGGACACCCTGACACTCCTGCCACTGAATTGAAACTGTGTTCAAAACATGCTTTAGACATCTCGAACTTATTTGGCAACATGGTTCCTCCATTATTGAGCTGGAACCGACCGTCCCAGCCATTCCTATAGGCCTATCACGAAATGTTCCTAGAACCAAACAATGTTTTTTTAAGTTCTTAGAACATTAACCATGCGTGTTTAAACACGACAGTCTCAGCCAGAAATGTTCCAAGAACATTTCGTGCAAACCACAAAATCTACATCCTTTTGA